GTTGAGCCAATTAACTTGATTGTTTAGTGTTTAGTTTAGTTTAGTTAGATAGTTAGTTTTTGGTTAAAACCAGTAATTAACACTTTTTTAACGTACATGAGAAATAGAATTGAGTTACTCAATAACCCGGTTGTGGCCTTGTAATGATTTTATAAATAGATAGTGTTACGGTGAAGACAATTATGTGATATACTTAGTAAAGGGCATTGATTTAGAGCTTTAGATAGTAAGGATGTGTCAATGATTAAATAAATAACAATAAAGTATAATAATATATGAATAAAGTATACAAATATGCACAACGAAAATATGTATGAATATCTTAGGGTCAGAGCGATCGAATATGATTCACGTAGTTCACGTGATGATTAATCAGAATCATAAATGGTCAGTAATGCATTTGAAGTACTGAAGTAAGATTGCAATTAATTTATCAAAAGTAAGATCAATTACGCATTGTTATGTATTACGGGATAGTCTATTAGTAAGTTATGCATAAACAATCGATTAAAATATGTAAATAATTTAAGAGACAATGGTTGTATGACCAATATATAATATAACACTAGAGTCAAATTAGAGGTATAAGTATCGAAGCGAAAGTAATAATAAAAAGTTAGTCAATTGAATAATAAAAAAAAGATCGTAACTAATAAAACAAACTTGTTACTTTCCTTAAGTGAATTATTTGAAACACATTAATTACCATAAAGTGCTTCCCCGCCTGAGTTAGATCATTTAGTTGACGAAAGTCACTAATTAACCCGAGACAGTAGGTAGTTCAGAGCTTAAAATTTATATCTGGTACAAGCTCTATTTATAAGAAATAAATTCTTTTTTTTTTAATACATTATTCTTCGTTTGGCTAACGTATACTTCAAAGATTCGAAAGATTCATGACTTAGAAAATTATATCTTTGTGGTTCTATGATTATTTCATTAAATCAAAAATTAGTGGCTCTTACTTTAGAACATTCAACCAGTTTATAATAAAATTACACAACATAAGAAAGTTACTAATAAACTTTTAATATAAGAAAAGTTTGTAGACTTTATATTATTGGCTGCCACTTTTCTTATATTGGGATTTACTTGCATCAAAGGTTTTACTTTATACAATAATTTGAAATTATTTTGCCAAGTAATATATCTTCAATAGAATTTTCAGAAATAAGACTATTACATAAGAAACATTCAACTAATTCTCTTCCTAGCATATAAAAGACACCTTTCATAAAAATAAATTTATAATTTACAAGATCATAATTCGCTAGTAAACCTGCATAATTATTTGGCTCAAATTTGTTAACAAGATCATTAGATAAATAAGTCCATTATAGAAAATGTCTTGGCATATGGAAATAGTGATAATAATTGTATAAGTGTATTAATTAGTTTAAGATATAATATATTATAACTATATTCATTTTGTAATTCTAGACATGGTGCCACTATACATTTCTTATATACGTTAATGCTAATACTCAAAAATACAAAGCTGAATATTCCAGCAAAATAATTATATATTATTATAGCTTTATAATGACAAATTCCAATTTGCTATGAAATTTTGAGCTTTTGATTTATTATTTATCATGAAAAATCTGATCGTTAGTAGAGCTGAATCCTGCGGCAACACTCAAATGTGAAGATTAAATCAAGAAACATACCAAATATTAAAATAGAAAAAAAAATTTTTATTGATCAGGAAATGGATTGCTGGTGAATATTGAATCAAATTTTGTGACCTTTTTTTTTTTTAAAAAAAAAAAAAGAAATTAATTTCGGATGCAAAAAAAGAAAGCAAAAAAAGAAAACAAAAATTTATAATTGAAGTTATCATAGTCGTCATCGTCATCATCATCGTCAATGGCTTCCATTGCTACTTCTTCGGCAGAGTCAGCTTTTAATTTTTTTTTGTTCTTTTAGCGGTTTCGATTGCTTCTTCTACGCAAGCGATTTCTGCAAGCTGCTCTTGGAAGACAGATTGCTCTTTCTCATATGCTTCCTAAAAATATATATATTGAATTAGAGCAATTGTTCTATTGAAAAGATAATATAAAAACTGAATGCCTTAACAAGGGGGATGGCCAATATAATTATCAAAAGTTTTTGTCTTGGAGCAAGAACATAAAGACCACTGAATAAATTACGCGGTCAAACATTCAGGGGGTAAAGTATGGGTTGATTTTTGGTATAAGAAAAAAATAGAACCAGAACAATATATCAGTTATAAAAAACAGGTAGAAAAATTGGCAAATGTCGTAGAAGTAGAGTTTAATTATTTGGATGAAATGATAAAAATAACGGACTTGACATTATTGGAGCCAAAATACCAAGAAAGAGGTTATAAATGGGTGAATAAAGTTAAATGGGACATGGAGAATCCAAAAAGTAAAGATGAAATGCAGGCCAAAGAAGAAATAATTGTCTTTGAACATGTAAAGGTAATAAAATATTAAATTTGAGTAACCAGATTCTTATATTTTTTTTTTATAAAATACCATTAGGACATGAACTCTTCGTGCGATTGCTTTGTCGGTGCATCTTATACTAGAACTCGTAGGGTTTAAAAGAATATCCAAGATTGCCATCGTGTACATGCAGTGTATTGGTGGAAGGCTATTATCACAGAATTGCTTGAATGCTAAAAGGCAAATTGAGGTGATTAATTTATCATTTTTAAAAAGGGAATTGTAAGCATTACAAGTTTCTTTTGAGGCCTTCGACTTAGAAAGCTTTGTGGCAGATGTACTGTTATCTACTCTCCCGATATTTAAAACGGTGAAAGTGGCATTTCTAATAGTGGAGGCTATGTCATTTCTTTTATTTCGGCATTTATTTTTGAGCTGATAAAAACAAATAAAATTAGGCAATATAAATTTATTAGTCTTAATTGATACCCGGGTAAATATTTTAATTTCCCAACAGATTTATTATGCTGTCATGTATGTATCAATGTCAATATGTGCATGATTGAATGTGAAATACCAAAATTGGGCATGGAAATAGACATGACTAAAAAAAAAAAAAAAGAAAATGGACATGACTAAATAAATAAAAAATATACTTCATGTAAAAGTTTCTCATTGAAATACGAGATCCAAGCACTCCTCCCAATAGTATTAATAAAATGATCTGCATGTTCTTCCAAATATCTTTCCAATGCAACTCTATATTCTTTAAGAGAAGGGTATAGAGTTGCTGGAATTAGTTGCTTTGTGACTTCCTTGTATACTTTTCTCCAGAAATCATCAGAAAGATCATCAAGTACAATTAGTTTTTTTATATCATCTGATGTTTCTTTTTGTTTATTTATTATGAACTGACATAATTGATACAATGAATTGATTTTTTGGTCCAAAAAATTCACAGCATAATTAAAATCATGGAACATCAATTCCGTGCAAGTAGACTCTTGTCTAACCAAGCTCATAGATGAAGAATCGCATGTGTTCCCAGAGACTTGGAATAATCGAGATGTGTGTGACATTTCCTCATCATCAGATTCCTCTTCCTCGTTGGCAGATGAGAGAGCTTTCTGCCTTTTTGCAGGTGGTTGAACCAGCGGTGAAGATAACTCATTCTGCTTATTATCATCTGAAATTTCAACAGTTATATAAAATAACAACAATGGTAAGCAATTTATTAAAAATTATCAAAAATATACATTACTTGTTTTTACCTTTGGTTAATTTAGGCCTTTGCGCTACTAATAATGTTTTGGTTAATTTAGAACCTTCGTTTCCTGGTGGCATTTTGTTTGCCTCTAATTTGGGAAAAAATTTAAATCTGATTTTTTTTAAATAAAAAATATATAAAAAATAAATATAAGTAGATGAAAAATTAAATACTAGAACTGCTGCCACGCAGCATCCCCCCGAAAACAGCTTTCGCTTGATTAATAACTGGTTCTTCTGCTTTATCTGCCTCGATAGAGGTAGAATTACTGTTTT